AGTGATTCCCTATATAATCAACCAATGGGCCCTCCTCCTAAATCCGCCTCTGTTACAATCACCCCATCAACCAAATATTTTAAACATATATATAGTATGCCAGTAACAGACAAAACCATGAACATAAGGTTAAGTTCAGATAGACCCTGCAAGACAGGCATATTTGTTTTTCATTCATTATTTTGTACATAAATATGCCATTAGTTTTCTCATTTGAATTGTTTTAAATTGTACATTTGTCACTTGGAGGCCTTTTATACCCAACTATGCAGTATAGGTTTTACTCATTGTCGAAGGTCGTATGATGACATTTAGTTGTTTATTTCTGTGTCATTTGTTCTCTTGTGGTGTGTCTCATTTACAATCATATCACATCTTTTTACTTAATATTTCAATATATACATTTAATATTCATACCATACACCAAATATAATAACCCATTGATTACACAATGTAGCATGTTAAAAGAGGACTTACCATTGACCAATGAACCATGCAAATGTGGTCAATGACAATTTCCAGACAGACATGTACTCCTTACATTTGTGAATCATTGCATACATATAGTTTATCTACTACATGTACTTTTAGTATTAGAAAAAACAGACAAAAACACAAAAACATGACATTGACAAATGACCTATTGCTAACAGTATCTGATAAACAACCCTAATCAGGTAACTTTAACCTTGATCACTGATCCATGAAATGTGCTTGAGATCTTTGTAGCAATCTGTATTAATTTGAGTGCATATCTAAATTTACAAAACAAAATTAATCTGGATTATTGTGATACTATAAATTTAGAAATTATTGAGGTTATTATTAGTGCAAATAATGCGACAGGGTGAATATCGCAAAAATTATAATAAGAACTTGCATTCTGATAACTGAATTATAGATCTTTATGCAGATTTTTTTTGGAATCGCAATAATTAAACTCGCAATTTAGTCCATTCGTCAAAAATCGCAATAATAAATGCACGCAATAATTTCTGAATTTACAGTAGGTAAAAATGTTGTCAGTTAATAGTGAGACACAAGTTTTCCCAGACAATATATAATTCTTTTGGTTGTTTTGTTTGGTTGCTGTCTCATTGAACAAAACTGTATTTTATTTCTCCTTTTATCTAGAAAATATAACTTTTGAAATAGAAACTGAATAGCATATGGATGGAAAACAAATGCCAAATGATGTAAAATAATTCAAGTGGCCATTTAGGTCAGGGGTTGGTGAGGTAAAAGATGAGGCAAAGGCATGTGCATTTATCACAACTGCCGCGCACTTGGTTTTATGATTTCCAAAATTTCCAAATCTCATAGCTACCTTCTGTATTAAAGACAACTGCATATATTGCAGTTTGCATATCATGAATTGTGTTTGCAGCAAAATTCACCATGTTCACTACAGACAGCAAAAAAAGCTCTATTAAAATTCATTTTTTGAAACATTTTTGATTTTTATTCCTAAAATGTCTATGAGATCAAATTTATAAAACATTTATTAGCATTGTAAATTTCAATATACTAGTAATTGTTGACATGTTTACATCATGTACATGTACAATCATTAGCTGATCAGCTCTATATTTTCATTATTTTTATATCAATATTCTTCATCAGTGTTTTTTATAAGACTCAATAATCTGTATTCATCATTGGGACAGGTAGGTAAAGTAGGTCCTTTTGATCTTGGATTTTTTTTTTATGGATTTTGACAGCACTAAAGCATATAGTTCCAAATTATAGTTGATCTTGGCTTCTTAAGTGGATTCTGACAACACTTTGCATATAGACACCAAGTGTAGATGATCTTGGGTTCTCTCATATGGATTCTGACAGTACTTTGATTATACATGTAGTTCTAAGTATTGTTGATCTTGGCTTCTAATGTTGTTCTTAAGTTTCTGCACTTTACATATAGTTCCCAATTGCAAGACAAGATGATACTGGCTTCTCGTGTAAATTCTGTCAGTTCTTTGCCAATAGTTTCCAAGTAAAGTTGACCATTCCAGGATCTTTCACAACAAATCACTCCTTCCTCTTACATGTACTTGAAGCCTGAAATTAAATGTCAGAGTAATTCTGTCAGAAAATAAACCATGATTGACATTTAAAAGCATAATGTAGTTCATATTTTAAATAAATGGGGAATGTGTCCATGGGACACAGATGATGCCCCCACTTGCATATAAAGTTATAAAGGAGCATAACTAAAGAACGGTAAGAGTGACACTACCCAAAGTTTTACTTGATCTGAATTTTGTTGTAATAAGTAATGTGTATAAGTTTCTTAACATTTGGATGAGGCAAACTAAAGTTAGAGAACAGAAACAAAAAATTCAGCATTTTTTCCATTTGTAAAGGGGCATAACTCTAGAACAGTAAAAGTGACACCACCAAAAAAAATTCAAACTTGATCTGTGTTTGTTGGTAATAAGCATTGTGTATAAGTTTCATAACATTTGGTTGATGCAAACTGAAGTTAGAGAACGGACACCAATTTTGGGACATACGTACAGACAGATAAGGGTAAAACTTAATGCCCACTCCACTACGGCGTAAAAAAATGAAGAATTTGTGGCAACAATAATGAGCAAACAAAATAAAATTACATGCACAGCAAGTGTAAATAGTGATTTTGTTTTTATATATATGTTGAATACAGACTTCTCAGGGCATGCTGTTTCGATGCCAGGGACAAGTTATTTCTATGCCTAAAAATTCTAAAATGCAGCTGAGCAACATGTGTACTCCTCGTCAACCAAATTATGCTGAGGTGTCTTGTAACCTGTTTGGAATATGGGATAAACAAATTTTGTGTTTAAAAATACTAAGCACAAAACAATAATGAATTTTTCAACTCAAATGTATGTGTTATTTGGTAAACAAGATAAGCCCTACGTGTATATTTAAACCTGATACTTGACGTTATGAAATTTTTTATACAAAAGAGAGACGGGGGGGGGGTTTTAATTGTAAACAAATTGTGATCAAGACGAATCCATCAATAAATAGTATTGCCTCGTACTGTAGTGGTTATAATTTACAAATCAGGCCATTTATATATTCTCAAGAAAACAAACGAAACAATCGAACCCCTTGAGCGGGTAGTCCTATAATATATGCCTTCGCATTATATATTCACTATTTAACGTTTTCATGCTGATATTTTCATTTTTTTTTTGGAGCCACATTGACAATAAAAAAAAAGAAGAAAAATAGCAAAATCAGTAAAAAGAAAACAGAAAAAGAAAATAATGCCCCCGAGTTCATATATTATAGGATTACTTGAGCGGGTGGACAGGGATAAGGGAACATGGGAATGAGGGATCAGGAAGCGAGAAAAGGGGGTATCATGTGCAGGTCCATTACCGTTAATTAGCCTGGTCGGAGTGAAAATAAAAGTAACCAATTTGGTAGAAGCAAATCTTATGAAGATTATAAATAGAAAAAAAACCTTAGATCTTGTGTGAGTCACTTCATTTTTAAACAATAAAAAAAAACTTAATATATCTTTATTTTATTGTTATAGAACTATACTAACAAAAGCATGATTTAAACAGGGTATTAAATAATTCTAGAATTATTATTTAATTGGAATTTAATTATATTTATCTTTCAGACACTTTTCATGTCTCATATGCATTTTAGAGTGAAAGAGCAAATGAGTAAGGTTAACATCATATCCATACTGAACATGATCATTGAGTTTTGTTGTTGGGTTTGACATACCTTATGTATATTATGAAGAATGAAGCTTATCTATTACACCATACAGATATGTATACAACTAAAAATTTTTAAATTGTAACATACATTTTTGCAGAGGTAAGTTAACTAGGCCTTGTAATGCACATGGTAAGTTGACAGTCTGTGCACAGGGTTAGTTGACTAAGGTCGTGCTGTGCACAGGGTTAGTTGACTTAGGCCCTGCTGTGCACAGGGTTAGGAGACTAAGGCCATGCTGTGCACAGGGTTAGTTGACTTAGGCCATGCTGTGCACAGGGTTAGTAAGCTTAGGCTGTGCTGTGCACAGGGTCAGTTGACTTAGGCTGTGCTGTGCACAGGGTTAGTTGACTTAGGCCGTGCTGTGCACAGGGTTAGTAGACTAAGGCTGTGCTATGCACAGGGTTAGTTGACTTAGGCTGTGCTGTGCACAGGGTTAGTTGACTTAGGCTGTGCTGTCAACAGGGTTAGTAGATTTAGGCCGTGCTGTGCACAGGGTTAGTTGACTTAGGCCGTGCTGTGCACAGGGTTAGTTGACTTAGGCCGTGCTGTGCACAGGGTTAGTTGACTTAGGCCCTGCTATGCACAGGGTTAGTAGACTAAGGCTGTGCTGTGCACAGGTTTAGTTGACACTGTTCACAGCACAATCTTAGTCTTTTTTACCCTGTGCACCCTACAGGCTAAGATTGTGCTGTGAACAGTGTTATTTGACAATGGTTGTACTATGCAAAAAGCAGGCTGACTAAGTCCCTGCTGTTAGTAGACTTATTCAGTTGACTAAGCCTGTTCGTAGCATGATTATGTTGTACTCATGACTCAAAAGTACATTTTTGATTGCATTTATTTTCTCTCAATAGCTTTATTGAAACACTGTTTTTTTGTACAATATATATTAAGCTGGCTATAAGTATTTGATTAACAATGTGATGTATTAACACTATGTTGTCCTTGCAATCTTATAGCTTACTTTGCAGTGTGAGTGAAGACTCAGTGTTGAAGGCTGCACTGTGACCTTCAATTTCTTATATTTACTACTTCAGATCTAGGATGGGAATTGTCTCATTGGAAACCACACCACCTCTAATTTTTATATACATGTATAGTTAACATAACAACATGGTGAGTGAGTGTTGTAACCAGTTATTTCATGCACTTTAAAAGGATATGGGTTTTTAAAACATCTACATCTTAATGCAGATAAGTGTTGTCTATAGCTGATATTAATCAAAGTTGGGTTTTGGCTTCTACTATTCAGAAACAAAAACTTCTGATTAAAATTTTCAATAAGATAGCATTTGATAATAAAAATGCTTTTAACTTTATTAAAAATATATTAATCTTTGTTAAGACATATACATGATACAACTCACATAATATGTTCAAAATAACTCATAACCTAACTGAAAGTAGATGATTCTCAGTTACAGATTTTCTTTCAGTGGTATGCTAAACAATATTAAAATTCTTTATAATTCATTAAAAAATTGTTTATAGCAAATAGTAAACAAGTTAATGAAGTAACATACTATTTTTTTTAATTACACCTTAACAACACAACATTTAATTCATAACTGAACCAGATGCTCCGCTGGCACAGCTTGACACGACCGCAGAGGTCGAACCCTGAACAGTTGGGGCAAGTATGGACACAACAGTAAAGCTTGATACAGCTCTTAATTTGTATTGTAATTAAATAGTTGACACAGAATGAATGTGGTCTAAGAACTGGAAAAATTTAAATTGGACATTTATGGTCCGATATCCAAAATCTAAACACATGGTTAGATTCAGCATATCAAAGAACCCCACATATTCAATTTTTGTTGAAATTAAACAAAGTTTAATTTTGGACCCTGATTTGGACCAACTTGAAAGATGGGCCTATAATAAAAAAATCTAAGTACATGTTTAGATTCAGCATATCAAAGAACCCCAAGATTTTAATTTTTGTTAAAATCAAACTAAGTTTAATTTGGGACCCGGCTTTGGACCTTAATGTAGACCAATTTGAAAACGGGATCAAAAATTAAGAATCTAAATACACGGTTAGATTTGGTATATCAAAGAACCCCAAGAATTCAATTTTTGATGAAATAAAACTAAGTTTAATTTTGGACCCTTTTGGCCCCTAATTCCTAAACTGATGGGACCAAAACTCCTAAAATCAATCCAAACCTTCCTTTTGTGGTCATAAACCTTGTGTTTAAATTTCATAGATTTCTATTTACTTATACTAAAGTTATTGTGCGAAAACCAATAAAAATGCTTATCTGTGCACCTTTTTGCCCCTAATTCCTAAACTGTTGGGACTAAAACTCCCAAATTCAATCCCAACCTTCCTTTAGTGGTCATAGACCTTGTGTTTAAATTTCATAGATTTCTTTGTACTTATACTAAAGTTATTGTGCGAAAACCAATAAAAATGCTTATCTGTGCCCCTTTTTGCCCCTAATTCCTAAACTGTTGGGACTAAAACTCCCAAAATCAATCCCAACCTTCCTTTGGTGGTCATAGACCTTGTGTTTAAATTTCATAGATTTCTTTTTACTTATACTAAAGTTATTATGTGAAAAACCAAGAAAAATGCTTATTTGTGCCCCTTTTTGGCCCCTAATTCCTAAAATATTGGGACCAAAACCAATCCTAACCTTCCTTTAGTGGTTATAAACCTTGTGTTAAAATTTTGATGATTTCTATTCACTTATACTAAAGTTATTATCTGGAAATCATCCGTCCTTGAACGACACTGACAACGACGAAGATGTGATACCAATATAGGACCATAAAAATTTTAATTTAAGGATGTACTTAGGTGATCTAAGGTAAAATTAAATAAATCAAGAATTCAAAATTGATACTTTAAGCTGGAAGAGCAATAGTTAAGGTTCAAAATAAGCTAAAAATATTGATAGGTCATGGAGCTCCTTTTCGAGATATTTGATTTATAAAATATGGCGGGAAAAGGCTGACTCGGACTTTTACCTTATATTTGCATTGGTATTATTTGGGTCTCAAATCAAAAGAAAGAAAATCAAGAATCTGCTTAAATTTTGTCAAATGACCTTTTATAAGCTTTTAAGTCTTATGTTAAAAGATAAATAGGTGTTATGGGGCAAAATATTTTACTTTGTATCGTATTGAAAAACACCAAGGAGTCCGAACATTTGACGCTTATTCCAAAACCTCACCTAAGTACATCCTTAAGAGGTCGTATAAAAAAACACACCATTTATATATTGCAGAATTGTTTAAAAAGCAGCTTATTTAACGATTGATAGTTATAAAATGTGATTTTAGGAGTTAATTCCCTTTAATACTATTTGAAAATTTTCTTACTCACTAAGATGTGAAACAGAAATGAATTTATGTATTAATTTGAACTTTAACTGATTAGAAAAATAATTTGATAATGTTGAGCACAAACTTACTTGTGTATGAACCAGCATCACAATCTTAATAGTATCTTAAAATACTCAGAAAACCTGAATGCTTTTTTTTTTTTTAACTAAACTCATCTATTTCTATATATTGTACAAAATTTTATAATAAGCCTGTACAAAGTTGATTTATGTATAATATAGAATATACAAATTTTCCAATAGACAACTAAATTAAATAATTTAATGAAAAAATATATAAAAATTTGGTTGAATATATACATATTTACCAGCTCAATCGAGAATATCATCTTCCTGAGATGACCAAATAATTCTTACTTGTATAGTTCTCAAAAAGAAAAAAATGAAAAAAATATCTTTTAAGGATAATAAATTTGGTAAGGGGTAAGTTGAATAATGTGTTTTTACTTTTCTTAACATTTTTGCTATGTACATTTCCTCTTTCTGTATAAAAAATATTTGAAATAATAATCCAAAACAGCAAATTTTCCTGTAAAACAAGTGAGGGGTTATTGTCCCATAACATTATAGTAGGTTGTCAATTTTACTGAAAATTTAATGTCAGAAAGAAATTTACCTGCTTATTATATCAACCAATCAAATTTGCAATAACTGCTTTAAACATTCAACACCAACAAGATTCCATAAGTTTCAATCAGCTCAAGCTTACTATACATTGATCTTACAGATTCATAGATAAACAAATTTAAAAGTTTAAAATAAATCTTGATTAATTTAGTGAAAATTTCTAAAAGTGAAATAACTCTATTAAGGCATTAAATGAAGACTTTGGCTGATTTAGATGTAATTATTTGTATCTCTAACTATGGTGAATATATTTACTGTTTAAAGTTGATATTTTATTTCAATTATATTCATGAAATAAACTAATCAAAACTTTAAGAAATTGTTTTTGTGTCATGCTATTTTTCAATATTTCGATGAACATAACTCATGAATGTTCAGTAAAATTATCAATATCAAACTTTACCTAGATTTGATTTCCATTAACAACATATACAAAGTTAAAAACCTTGGGTTGAAAGGACTTTTGAACAGATATATCATGTTAAGGAGGGGTATTTGCGAAAAATACCAGCCGAGAGAATGTTAAATTTCGCGAGCCGTGCTATATCTGTTTAATTACACAGAATGTTAACGTTCAAAAACACATTGATGATCGTGACGTTACAAGCGTCCAGTCGGATAGAGTATTTTTTGGCAAATACCATGGCAGAGAGGGTAAAAAAGGCATATCCTTTTTGCATATACCCCGGCGGCGTTAAAAAATGAACGATATTCATTTGATAACAGTAAATTGGTGAAAAATATACTGGATATCAACCAATCAAAACCCAGGATTCTTACATAAGGTGTAATTATAATATATATATGAACATCATATATAAAATTGTATTGTACATATCAATATGGAAGTTGTCTTTCATTTATTCATTGGAAAAAACATAATTAAATTTAAAAGCTTTGGTTATACAGTTCAAAAGTTATTGAACAGAAAATACAAAAGGTTGCAAAAGCTCAATTTTTTTATTTTTCACAAGTGACCCAAAAATAGAAAAAATACTGAAATTTAAATTTATATTACTGACATCTTAATAATTACTCTTCAAAATGAAGACCCTCCACTTTATTTATTTCATCCAAAATAATTTTTGAGTATTTTGATATTATTGCTGAAACATCTTTGTTATTGGACACATCTCTTGACCCTACAATAATTTTAAGTTCTATTTTGGTTTTTTCTAATTGGTCTTCACTTTCCTTTGCCTTTTTGCAGTACTGTATTAGCTTGTCCGGTATATATTTTGGTGTTTTCATGTCTGAAATATAAAATAAATTTTTATAAGCATAAATTTTTATAAGCACAATTTTTCTGCGAAATTGTAATTAAAAAATTTGAAATAATTAAATTTTTTTTTTTCAATATTGCAATGGTGCATAGGGCAACCAAATATACACCTGGAAAAAAAAGTCTTGCAAAACCTCATATTTAGTCCCCTTCCAAGGAAGTTGAAGGGGTTTTTAGGTTTGCACTCTGTCTGTCTGTCCGTCTGACAATCCCTCCATCCGGCAAATCAGCTTTCCACAATCTTTTTTCATACTTTAAGATAGTAGTTTGATTTTTGGTATGTAGTATAACCAAAACAATTTACAAATTTTTAGTTCTAATTTTGTTCTGGTCTGACGTTGTTTTTTTTTTTTTTGCAGACTTATAGACCTTGGACTTAGAAAAATCACATAAGTAATCTGTTTTTCAACTTTTTTTTGTTATGCTTAAAGGTATAGACTTCATATTTGCTATTTTGTTAAAACATGACAAGTTATAGATAACATTTGAATTTTGTTCCAGTCTAATAATTTTTTGCAAAGTTATGGTCCTTGTCATGGTTAAACTATATGCCAAATATGAAGTCAGTATCTTCAAGCATGATGAAAAAAAACAAGCTTCTTTCTGAGTTTGGTAAAAATCCAGTATAGTTTAGGAAAGTTATTAGGTAAGTTAACCTAAGTTGTTTATGCTAAAATTATTGTGTCTCTTATTGATTGTCCTTTCAACTTTTTTTTATTATTATATTTTTTACTATAATGTTGACTATTACTTTTTCTTTAAGCTTATATAATTAGATTACCTTTGAACTCATTCAGTTTTTTCGAATAATTAGGATATTTCTCAACAGCCGAATTCCACGAATCTTCCCCAGTCTGTTCAGTGAAAATCCTTTCAAGAGCTTTTTCCTTTTTATTATTTACTAAACTTTCAGCTGCCTTTTGTAAACTTTTGCTGTCAGCTGCCATCTGCAGGAAATGAGCCCTTGTAACATTCGATTCTGCCTGCAGTAATCTAAATAGCTGTGAGAAAAAAAAATAGAATGTTAAATACTACAACTTTCAGTTAAATTAACATGGTAGCTTGGTAGTTTGAATCTTGAATCTTGGTAGTTTTGACCTGTATTTTTGGGCTAGAAACATTACTGTTTGGAAAATCCCATTGCAATCAACATAAAGCAATATTAAATTTAATTCTAAAATTAGAGGCTCTAAAGAGTCCGGTGTTGCTCACCTTGGTCTATGTGCATACTAAACAAAGGAGTAAGATGGATTCATGACAGAATTGTGTTTTGGTGATGGTCATGTGTTTGTAGATCCTACTTTATTGAACATTCCTGCTGTGTACAATCATCTCTATCTATAATGAACTTGGTCCAGTAGTTACAGTGGAAAATAATTTGTAATAAAAATTCATAAAATTTATTAAAATTGTTAAAAATTGACTATAAAGGGCAATAACTCCTTAAGGGGTAAATTGACCATTTTGGTCATGTTGAAATATTTTTAGGTCTTACTTTGCTGTACATTATTGCTGTTTACAGTTTATCTCTATCTATAATAATATTCAAGATAATAACCAAAAGCTGCAAAATTTTCTTAAAATTACCAATTCAGGGGCAGTAACCCAACAACAGGTTTTTGATTTTGAAAAAACAATTGTGGACAAGTTTGGTTAAATTTGTCTCAGTAGTTTTAGAGGAGAAGATTTTTGTAAAAGATTACAAAAATTTACAAAAACTGCTAAAATTAACTATAATCATCTATAATGAACTTGGTCCTTTAGTTACAGTGGAAAATAATTTGTAATAAAAATTCTCAAAATTTATTAAAATTGTTAAAAATTGACTATCAAGGGCAATAACTCCTTAAGGGGTCAACTGACCGTTTAGGTCATGCTGACTTATTTGTAGATCTTACATTGCTGAACATTATTGCTGTTTGCAGTTTATCTCTATTTATAATAATATTCAAGATAATAACCAAAAACGGCAAAATTTCCTTAAAATTACCAATTCAGGGGCAGCAACCTAACAACGGGTTGTCTGATTCATCTGAAAATTTCAAGGCCGATAGATCTTCACCTAATAAACAATTTTACCAAATGTCAGATTTGCTCTAACTGCTTTGGTTTCAGAGATATAAGCCAAAATCTACATTTTACCCCTATGTTCTTTTTTTAGCCATGGAGGCCATCTTGGTTGGTTGGCCAGGTCACCGGACACATTTTTTAAACTAGATACCCCAGTGATGATTGTGGCCAAGTTTGGTTAAATTTGGCCCAGTAGTTTCAGAGGAGATTTTTGTAAAAGTTAACAATGACGAAAGACAGACGACGACGGAGGACGGACACCAAGTGATGAGAAAAGCTCACTTGGCCCTTTAGGCCAGGTGAGCTAAAAATGTAATAATAAAAAAAATAAAGTTAAATAATTTAACATGTCACTGGACATTACACATTCTAGTTAATTGTTGGCAATCATGTCTTTTACCTACATAATTTTTAATTTATAATATATTAATCCAGGCAGTTGTGTTAATTAGCCATCACTAGTGTATATTTCAAATGTTTAGACATTTATAAAGTTTCAAATTTTGATTTTCTTTTCCTACTAACTTTACCTACCCTTTGCGGAACACTATGGTTTACACCCTTTTGAAGTTCATAGTTTCTAACTATGGTTTCAAACAACTGGAATGAATCCTCTGGATAACGTGCAACACTCAGTATTGTACTTATGCTGTCCTTAATTTCCTGTAAGAAATAATTCTACCTGTATTATTACCATTGTATTTATGAATAAAATCAGAAAAAAATAGATTAAAAAAAATAGAGAATGTATGTGTCAATGTGACACTGAGCCCCCCCCCCCCCCCCTTTTTTTGCATATAACATTATAAAGGGGCATAATTTACAGGTTTTATACCATATGAATGAGGCACATTAGAGAACGGACAAAAAATTGAGCAACATTCCCATTGATAAAGGGGCTTAACTGAAAAACGGTCAAAGTGATGTCGTCAAATTGGAACTTGATCTTGTGTTTTGTGGTAATGAAAGCATTCTTTATAAGTTTCATTACATTTGGTTGAGACTAACTAAAGTTGGTACATAAAAACAGATATGTGTAAAACTTACTGTTTCCAGTGGGGGCATAACTAGAACACTGAGATTTAAAAAGGGCTCTTGTGCAAATATATCATTGTAAGGGACATAACATCATTTCAAGTTAATGATAGCTGAATTGTCAACTTACAATTTCCACATAAATTTTGAAAAAAAAATATACAAAACTTTGGCACACCAGACACAGTACTTCTTTCCCCAGTGATGATCCAAACTAAAAAGTTACATAGCCAAAACAAGTTTAAAAAATTGAACAGCATAGCATGTGGCCCAATAATTCCAAAAAGACTTTTATAGGCATGTATACATGCAGATGCTAGTGGAATCTTTCTGTTTGTGTTCAGTTGAATTTCTTAACACAGGATATCTAAGCACATAATTGAACTGAATTGTCATTAGAGGCAGAGGAAAAAATATTTGAAATAGTTTTCAATGGAAAGAGGACAGTAGACTGGTGCTATCTATATTTATTAAATATTTACCTTTAATTCAATTTGGCTAAGGACCTCCTTCATTTTTCTATTCAAATCTTCCTGACCTTCTAAGTGGAACTGATGTGCCAACTTTATTTTATCCTGTTAAAAAGAAAGCAATTATAAAAGTAAATCATTTGTGTATTAAATTATAGTTTGCTGTAATAGATTAATATTTGCACTTGCACAAATAAAGTCTATGTTTACTTTTATCAAAAAAGTTAATGCATACTTTTACAAAATAAAATAATTGTATATTAGTACTTTAAAAAACAAAATATTCTTTACTCATATATTTAAATCAATAAAACATGTAGAGATAATCATATAAATAAGAAGATGTGGTATGAGTGCCAATGAGTATTTGTAATTTTCAGTTGTATGCAGTAATGTAAATAATGTGATAAAACAATAATTCAAACTTCATTTTGATTGGATAACTTCATAGAATCACCAATTGATGCTGTCAGTGCTTAAAAAAACATAAAGTTTACTCCTAATTATACCTCAGTCGACAAATTTTGTAAAGACATATTTCACTGGTCCATCCCTTTGTCCATCCGTCTTTGTCAAAATTCCTGTTTGTACCTAGGATATTGCCTTCATTTTTTGTCATATTTCCTTCAAACTTGAATGATGTGTTGTTTACAATAAAGGTTTAAATGGGATTGATTTTTTCTGGAGAGGGATAAGATGAAAATCATTGATATTTGTTAGTCACCAGGATAGTGTCTTCATTTTTATGTTTAAAGCTTGGATAGGATATTAATTTCAAAGATATATGATTGTCAACTTGATAGCGCTTTTTTTTTTGTCGGATTTCTTTCAAACTTTACTTGGGTGAAGTTTTTTAATCATCATGTTTTATTTTTAGTTCACAAGTCGGTCATTTTTATATGACAGCAAAAATCTTTTTGGTGAAATTTTTTTTATGGGGGTCAAGTCACAACCATACAGTGTATTGCACAAAAGCAAAATAATATATAAAATCAAATTACATAACCAATTCTAAGTTCTTTGACTACAATTATTCTGTGTCAGAAACCTATTATGTGTCTAATATTTAATTACAATCCAAATTCAGACCGGTATCAAGCTAAAGTATTGTGTCCATTTTTGTGCCACAGCTGTTCAGGCTTGGACCTCTCTCGTCCTATCAAGCTTCACTCAGCGATGCAATTTATTAATGTTATGATTAATTTACCTGAAAAGTAAATGGCAATGACTTAGCCATGTCATTGTCAATGCAGGCAAGTCTCAGTGCCTCTTCTTGTGTCAGTCCTACATACACCATACATGTCACTTCTCTGAAAGATCAAACATTTTCCATAATTTATTTAAATAACTATTAATCATAGAAGTGATATTTGTCCCCTGCAGAAATGAGCATTTTTGGAAGACATACTTCATAATCCATAATTCAATCCTTCTGTGCATCCATCATTCTGCACATGTATATTTATATAACTTTATAATTTGAGATCTACGTCTTTTTATGCCCAATTTTTATGCCCCATTTATTAAGCCCCATTTATGGGCATTATGTTTTCTGGTCTGTTCATTCGTCTTTTCATCCGTCCGTTTGTCCCTCTGTCCTGCTTCAAGTTCCCTATGACATAATCTTACTAATTTTAATTTCAAAGTAGGGATTTTACCCCATTTTTACGGTCCACTGAACATAGAAAATGATAGTGTGGATGGGGCATCTGTGTACTGGGGACACATTCTTGTTTCTCTTAAGATTAAGCCTGTATAAAGCTTAAATGTTGTGTCCATACTTGCCCCAACTGTTCAGGGTTCGACCTCTGCGGTCGTATCAAGCTGCGCCCTGCGGAGCATTTTATTAAATTTGTCAACATGAGGTCCAAAGGGTCCAAAATTAAACATTGTTTGATTTCATCAAAAAAAGAATTAATGAGGTTCTTTGATATGCAGAATTTAACTGTGTATTCAGATTTTTAATTTTTAATCCAGTTTTCAAATTGGTCTACATTAAGGCCCATAAGGTCCCAAATTAAACTTAGTTTGATCTTAACAAAAATTGAATTCTTGGGGTTCATTGATATGCTGAATCTAAACATCTATTTAGATTTTTGATTATGGGCCCAGTTTTCAAGTTTGTCCAAATTGGGGTCCAAAATTAAACATTGTTTGATTTCAACAAAACTTGAATATATATGTGGTTCTTTGATATGCTAAATGATAAATCTAACCATATATTTCAGCAAATCAAATTATTAGGGTTCTTTGATATGCCGAATCTAACTTTGTTTTTAGATTTTAAATTTTTGGTCCTGTTTTCAAATTGGTCTATATTGAGGTCAAAAGGGTCCAAAATTAAACTTTGTTTGATTCCATAAAAAATTGAATTCTTGGGATTCTTTGATATGCTGAATCAATCCATGTATTTAGATTTTGGATATTGGACCATAATAAGTAAATTTAAATTTTTTAAGTTCATTAGACCACACTTATTCTGTGTCAAATACTTAATCACAATCCAAATTCAGTGATGTATCAAGCTTAAATGTTGTGTCTATACTGGCCCTAATTATTCAGTGTTTAACCTCTGCAGTTGTATCGAGCTGATCATGCCGGAGCATTTATTACATCTTAAAATAACATGTATATTTTGTTAAAGAGCAGAGGTAAAAAAAACAATTGGTAAATAAGTGTCATTAAAACATTTCTATCAAAATATGGAATAAAGCAATTACTGTCTTTTGTATTGGTCAATTAAACTAGATTACTTCATAAAAAAACAGAAAATGTATGTAATTTGGCCCTGAAATTGCCAAAAAAAAAAATTCAACTTTTTTAAATATACAGATTTCAATTTATTCTGTTATATATAATGCATTGGTTTTTTTCCAGCCAGAAGAAAACGAGGTCGCCCTAAAGGCAGTTATAGCAGGAAGAGGCTGTTAAGTTTAAGTGGGTCAGATGAAGATATTCCCCTATCCAGACTGAAGAAAAAAAAGGGTATTTATACTTTTCAAAAATGCCACGCTTGGAGGGGACATAGTAATACTGAGCATCTGTCTGTCTGTCAGTTCATCTGTGTGTCCATCCTTCTGGTCTTGTTAGCACTCTCACATGTACAAATCTTACTTGTCAAACTTGAAGTGGTTGTTGATAGACTTTTTAAAAAATAGTTTATATGCCTGATCAACTTTTTATTAAAAGAGTTATGCACTTAGAAAATGTTAATTATATGGCGAATGGCCTTGTTAGCGATCTCACATGTACAATTCTACAAAGAGTTTATAAAACTTCATATCATATTTTAAATTTATTTGAGTTATGCGCTTTCACTGTACAATGTATTAACTTTAACATGATGAAAGGAGTAGGTCCGGTAAGAGCCGATTTTGGCCTCAAATTTCAGGTTCATCTGACGAAAGATTTTGGGACACTTTTTAAACACTTAAGTGTCTATTTCAGTTGATATTGAATTAGTTTATGTGAAAGATTTTAACTGATTCAGTCATAAAAAACACTCCGATGTAAGCTTAAATATGAAAAATCTATCGAATATACCAAAAAATGTCACTTTTTAGATGGTTTTTGTCAAAAATGAAAGTGGTCGCATCCGTGTTCATCCTCAACCATTACATATATGTTATGTATTATCCTCAAATACAACTTATATTTCAATATTAAGTATGAACACAAATGCCGCCACTTTCATTTCAAACAGAAACTGTCTAAAATTTAACTGAAATGCTAAAATTGTGATGATTTCAGTTAATGATGCTAGTACCCAATATATGTGCAAATGTTTGCACCTGTCCTAAGTCAGGAATCTGATGTACAGTAGTTGTTGTTTGTTTATGTAATATATATGTGTTTCTCGTTTCTCAGTTTTTTGTATAGATTAGACTGTTGGTTTTCCCGTTTGAATGGTTTTACACTAGTAATTTTGGGGCCCTTTATAGGTTCTTGTTCGGTGTGAGCCAAGGCTCCGTGTTGAAGGCCGTACATTGACCTATAATGGTTTACTTTTATAAATTGTTATTTGGATGGAGAGTTGTCTCATTGGCACTCATACCACATCTTCCTATATCTATTGTATTGTCAAAAACTGCCCATATTTATGTAGCAGAAGCATGCTACTTTCCAATAAATAACTAGAAGTTAACAAGTTAACAATATTGTAAAACTGCTATATTTTAGGGCCAAAAAGGGGTCTTACTGGACCTACTCCTTTATGCAATGTAGAAGACATTGGAACTCTGTTCTTTTATTTTTATTAGCACCAACCTAATGAAAGTTTTGGGGATTTTTTAGTAATAATGAATAGTTGGTAAAATATTTCTTTTGATTAAACTTTCAAGTCATTCAATTAATCAAAACAACATCCTGTTATCAATATCTGATATTGATTTTTTTTCTATATTTTGTAATTTCAGTACAACATAAAGTAGATATAAACTCAATTGCTGCTATTTTCTGCTGTGTAAGTTTATGCCTTACATCAGTACCAACTGAAGCCATCAACACCCTCAGGGACCACCTAGCAGGGATGTCAAAACATGACTTGAGCCAGTGGGTGCTAGATTGGTTATGGACACATCCAAGGTAAAAATCAATTAAAAACATCATATAAGCAGGTATGACACAGAAACTGAACATTATATATGGATAATTCTTATATAATGCTCTATGTTCATTTAAACATAGCAATGTTCTTTATTTGTCAACATTTTACAACTGCCTATAATGCTTGGCATAAAAATGAGGAATAATATAGGGGCTACCACCAATGTTTTTGTATGTCAGATTGTCAATGAGACAACTCTCCATCGGCATCGATGAATAGCACAGGAGTCACTTTCATAAAAAACTTATGACTAAGATTGATCGTATGTATACTGGATTGTACATTAATTACCATCAACTTAGTAGTAAGATTTTTTGTGAAATGGACCCCTGTTAGAAAGGAGGAAATACTACAAACATGCCCATAAAGCCAGACAACACCCAGACAAATATATGTCAATGATTATAGATGGCATGGACCAATCAAAGACTGAGATACCTCATTTTTTATACCTGTCTTCCCTTACCGCAGGAATGTGGAAATTGAGAACTCATTTGGTCGGAGCACTGGTGCATGGCGTAGGATTATATGGATTTTTTGATTGGTACCAGTATGCACACTCCTCCAATTTGACAATCCATGTAATTCTAAGTATTCTCCTAATGACTAAAGACAGTCTTCCTGATGTTCTTTACCTTCAAATGGACAACTGTGCCAGGGAAAATAAAAACAGGTATGGTGATACTGTATGTATTTAAAATAAGTAAAAGAACATTCACACTTGGATGCAACAATCAATTTTTGTACTCATGTGTGATGCAGAAAATGTCATACAACCATTAAATGCTTAACTCCTTAAAACATGACAGACACAAACTGAACATCATACAATAATTCATGACTGCTTGAAACAAATTGAATTTTAGTAATTGTAACTAACCATTGGTAAACCTTGGTAACTTTTATTTAAAGGTGAAATTTATGAAGATGATTTAAAAATATTTTATAGATATCAATAGAAATAGGACTTGTTCATATCAAGATAGTAAATCTTGAAAAAATATTAACTGTTAAACACAATTTAAATAGTATATGATTATTTGTAAATCATAACTTTTTGTGTTCTAGATTTGTATTTGGATTTCTCAGCCTCTTGGTTGAACTGAAAGTGTTCAAGAAAATCAAGGTTTCATTTTTGATGGTTGGCCACACTCACGAAGACATCGATCAGGTTTTTTCAAGGTAAATATAATTCCCTCTATTAAGATATTGACAAAATCTTTGCATTTAGTTCATTATGTCATGGGTTCAATCAGCTTTTTACTCAATATTAAGGTATTAGAACAGTAACTCCTTGGATAATGCTTTTTATTGCATTATACTAAAAAAAAAATTGAAATGCAACTGCCTATTGTCGAGCCTGCAACTTTTGTCGTAGAAAGCTCGAAATATGGAAAGAGATATTGCTGCGGCTATGACACTAGCTAACTTCTTAAAATCTTTAAATTTTAGAAGGTGGAAGACCTGGATGCTTCATACTTTGTATATAGATGCCTCATATGCATGTTACAAAGTTTTCGTCAGTCACATGTCCAATGTCCTTGATCTCATTTTCATAGTTAAAGTAAAGTTTTTTTTGTAATGTTAAATTCTCTCTTATAATAAGTAATAGGATAACTATATGTGGTATGTGCATACCTTGCAAGATCCTCATGCCGGTCAAATAGTTCTCACTTGACCTCGACCTCATTTCATGAATCAGTGAACAAGGTTAAGTTTTGGTGGTCAAGTCCATATCTCAGTTATTATAAGCAGTAGGTCTAGTATATTCAGTGCATGGAAGGACTGTAAGGTGTCATCTGACCTTGACCTCATTTTGATGGTTCAGTGGTTACAGTTAAGTTTTTGTGTTTTGGTCTGTTTTTCTTATACTGTATGCAATAGGTCTACTATATTTGGTGTATGGAAATATTTTATGATCTATATGTCAGTCGCACAGGCTTTATTTGACCTTGACCTCATTTTCACGGTTCATTGCTCAGTGTTAAGTTTTTGTTTTTTGGTCTGTTTTCTTAAACTATAAGCAATAGGTCAACTATATTTGTTGTATGGAAGAATTGTTTGCTGTACATGCCTGCCTGGCATGTTTCATCTGACATTGTCTTCATTTTCATGGTTCATTGGTCTATGTTTAGTTTTTTTGGTTAAGTCTATGTGACAGTTGTAGCTTTATATTTAGGACTATCAACATAATATCAATGATTAGTAAAGAAGGTGAGACAGTTCAGCGTTTGCACTCTTGTGTTAACTTTGAATGAGTTAATTCTTTCATGTAATTATACAATTAAATGGAATTCATCTTTTTATAATACAACAGCTTTCTTACATTACCTATCTTCATTTATTTCATACATACCAGTATTGAATAGTTTTATGTTCTTTATAATTTTAACGAACATTTTTTTCAGATTTTCAGTATGGTTGAACAAACATGCAGCTTTTACACTACCAAGACTAATGCATGCGTTTGAAAACTGCTTCCAACCAAAACCCCACGCCATCAAAACCAATGATGTTTATGACGTTACAAATTGGATTAAGGTACAGAAGTCATTGTGACAGTTTGCTACTCAAAAACAAAATTAATGGATCAGACCCTCAATTAAAATCCAACTTCATTCAAGCATATCATATTTAATTTGTAAACTGGATCGCATACTCACAAACTTAAGATGAAAGTCCTTTTGACTTTTATTCAGTTTGTGAGTTAACCGACTTAGTTTACACATCAGTAACCTACAGAAAAAAATAGTTTAAATCTATGAGATCTTCTTATAAAAAATGCATGTTTTATCTTATCACAATTATCATAATTATATCAGTATAATATATATACACATTGTACGTGTGTATGGATTCAGTCGTATTATTACCAAGCTTAAGTCAATTAAAATAATAACTACATGTATATGTAATGGACATATCATTGTGTCCTGGGACTCAAAGGGTTAAGCCGTCTTGCAAAAGCAATACAAAAATTTAGGCAACCATGGGGCATAGCAAGACACACAATGAATAATGATGTCAGTGTAGTTCTTTTTAAAAGGACTTGCTACAATTCCCTTTCTTTCTTTTATTTATTTATATCTTATAATTTGTTTGTTTACATACTGAGAAGTGCCATGATACTTATTGCCCTTTGAGAAAGGCCTTCTTCAGCAGGTGTCAATATACATGTTATTGCACACTCTTAGTTATAACTGGAATTATGTCAGACCACTAAAGATAAAATTGAAAAAAAAAATAGGAAGGGACATGTAGCAAGTCTGTCCTAGTCATATAACTTAGGAAGCAATGAAAGGAGATATATAGTCAATACTGCCAACATACTTACCTTGTAAAATAGCCTATTATTGATAATTATTAACCAACTTACTACATTATGTATAGAAATGCCCATGTTTTATAAAAGGAAAATTTCGACAACTGGTCATTATGAAAGGAGAATTAGCTACAGCCATGCATTACGAAATCACAGCCATGCATTATAAACAGACGAATGGAACATCGATTGAATCAAAATGTCGGTTAAATAAGTGGCAACTTTTTTTTTAACTTAATATCTTAAAAAAGAAGTTTAAATGATGTTCAGTGTTTTGTAACGACTTGTAACGGAATTCTGTGATTTTGTAATGCACAAGTCTCAGGTCCAATACAGCTAACCTCGAATCTATAACAGGGCCAATACAGAAACAGCCAGTTAATAACACTATAATATTTAACACTTTTTTCTTCTATTTCAGGATTTTATCAATCCAATCAGTGGCCATTCCCAACCACACACTTTTAAATTTGTCCTTGGAGATGATGGAAAATCAAAATTCTTGTACAAGAAATGGGCAAATGATAAAGTAAGTGATGTATGACTGTATTAAGGTTTTCCCATGATATGAATGGAAAAGGGGAATATGTCAAAGATACAACCACTGGACCATAATGTATAAAACAACTCAAGGCCACCAATGGGTCTTCAACATGAAGAAATCTCTTACCCATAGGAGGTCTTGAACAGGTCCTAAAATCCTAATGAATACTAGATCAAGAAAAATTGTCCATAATATGACCAGTATAAAGCTATGGCATATAAGTACTTTGTTGGATTCTTAAATTAAACAGACTCTCCATTATTCTAGTAAGTAATGCAATTGTATAATGTTGGCTGCATCTGATAACTTGCTTCTTCAAATTGAAACAATCAGTGGCGGATCCAGAAATTTTCATAAGTGGGGGCCCGCTGACTGCCTAAGAGGGGGCCAGCTTCGGTCATGCTTCAGTGATTCCCTATATAATCAACCAATTTTTTTCCAGGAAAGGGGCCCCCCTCTAACTTGCCTCTGATAATGAATAAGTAAAAGAAAACAACAGTGCAAAGATCTTCTATGCTGTTTCTTTCCAAATCATAAACATTTCTTTAAAATAAATTTTGGTATAAACAGAAAAAAAAAATTGAATTTGAAGCGGATAATGTACAATTACACAAACATGTTTTCATTATTTATGTTATAAATAAAACTCTATGGAAACATTTTGTCTTAGCAAAGAGTTTTTACAGTCAGTAGCTTTTTTCAAATAATAATATAATTGATGCAATTTGACAGTGATATACCACACTTGCAAGTATAAGAATTTTTTAATTTAAATTTTGCAATTGTTTGATTTATCAACTGTTAATTACTTAGGTTTGGCTTGAGTGTAATGGTTCTGAAAAAAATATACTGAAGGCTATTCCAAACACATGTCCATCCTTTATGCCCACCAATGACGACCAAATCGATGTTGATCGTCTGAAAGCAGATATTAATAAAGTGAACAAACAATATGGTTGTAACAAAGATGGCTGGTGGACATCTTTTTTCACAGACATTGGTAAGCATTATTTTGTTTCTGCTCAGAACTGAAGATGTCAACAATGTCAGGGTCAAAATCATGATGATGATAACGTGTAAACAGTATTAGGGATATATATGTATTGGGTCTAACTCCTCATTGATAAATTGATGCAGACAGTCATAAAAGACTGGACTGCAACTTCATTCCTTAATATTCACACCTTGTCGGGATTATTAAAAATATGCAATAGGATAAAAAGAAAAATTATTAACTTGTGTGCAATATAGAAATATGAAAATGTGATAGGATAGCCAATGAGACAGCTATCTAACACAGACCAAATAATGTAGATTTAAGCCACTATAGATAATGGTGTAGTCTTTAACAATAAGCAAAACCGATATGTTTTAAAGTAAGCTGTAAAAGGCCCAACATGACAAAATGTAAATCAATACGTTTAAAACAAGAAAAACAACCAGTCAGATTGGGAGTGCTCATTATACCTGGGATAGTACTGAATAACAGCACAGCATGAGAAAATAAACTGCTTCGCTGAGCGCAGCTAGATACGCCCGCAGAGGTCCAACCCTGAACAGTTGGGGCAAAAATGGACACAATATTCAAGCTTGATTCAGGTCTGAATTTGGATTGTAATTAAATATTTGACATATTATAGGTTTCTGAATAAATGTACTCAAAGAACTTGAAATTTATTATATGAATTGAATTTATGTTCAATTAAAGATTTCTTGCTGCTGTGCAATACTTAGTAAATCTGTTGTCAGACTATAAACAAATAAAGTTCAATTAATTCTCAATGTTATATAAGAATTTTAAGAAAATAAAAAGGGAGCTTACATCAATAGATATAAACAATTCACCAAAGTTTCATGAGAATTGGTGACAGCATTTTTGAGTTATTGTCCGAAAACTGGAAAATCACCCCTTTTTTTAATGAATAAAACCCCATAACTCAGAAATGTAAATTCTAATGCAATTCTTTTGTATCAATGGTTCTGATTGGATGACACTAAGCGTAAAATTCTTTATGTCCTTGTCTGTAACTAAGGAAGCCGACATTTTGAATTGCGGAATGTATTGACACGGAATTTTTACAATAATAAGCAAAAAAACTCACATGTTGCACTTAGAAATCTTCTTTTAATCAATTTTAATTACATTCTGAAGCGGCCAAGAAGCCAGAAAACGCCCGGTGTTTACGTTTGACGCCGGAAGCATACCTATGACGTCACCTAGTTTAGGGGCCAAAGAAGATAACATCTTTTCGCGGAATTTTCTTTAATGAGAATTTTACACTGAAATAATGATTGAAATTGAATTATGTACTTGTTTTGCATTAGAATAGAGATAACTGTATTGTATTTGAAGCTTTGCGGACGTCCATCGGTAGTTTTACTGTCGCAAATTTAGTTTACCTGGCGACGCGTCTACGTATGTACGTACATCCCAAAATTGGTTTTCGTTCTCTAACTTGAGTTTGCCTCAACCAAATGTTGTGAAACTTATACACAATGCTTATTACCACAAAACACAGATCAAGTTTGAATTTTGGTGACGTCACTTTTACTGTTCTAGAGTTATGAAACCGACAGAATGTGAAGCTGGGCTGTGCTTCTATTCTGTTTAGACCCAAGTACAATTCTTTTTTTATACTGCAACTCTTAAATTGATTACTAAGGAAATACTTTGGGAAGAAATGACAATTTTACATTTGAAGCAGACAATTTAAAAATTCTTCAAAACTCATAGTTAAAACAGTATAGTACAAGGGGTCAAAAACTGGACCCTGGGCCCCTTGTACCAAACCTGTATCAGGGTCAAGAGGGAAGAGGGAAGCCTGGTGTGAGGCTGTTGACATGAAGGACATTTGGTGTCATGGTTTTAATCTGACAGAAACCAAAAAACTCCCTTTAAAAATAAAGGAAAAAGTTGATACTTTTACAGACTTTTGAGAATGTTTGACACTTTTTAAAGAACAAAATTCTTCTTGATAATAATGATAGCTTTTTTGAAATAACAGAAATGTTTTTAATTATAGATTCTAAATGCATCAAGTTTTCTTTTAAGGACAGATATCTTAATTAATGTTACAAATTTCTATTGAATTGTTACTTAATTATTAGAAATTAAATGACAAAATTGTTAGCTCACCTTTCCTTTAAGGCAAGCTTTTGCCAGCACTTGGCACACACTGCCATGAAATTTTCAAACAATGACATTTTGGATTCTTGTATCAACACTATTTATTTGTAATTTATAATAAGGATTATAAATATCAATAAACTGTATACTAAGCAAAGATGTTCAGCTAAGTCTAATCTTTAATTAAGACAAATTAAAAGAAAAAAAACGGCAAAATGAATTTTTTGGCTTCTATCTAAAAAAACTAAAGAAACTAGAGCAAAACTAACCTGGCTTAAGGTAGATCATAAGTATAAACTTTTTGAGACAGAATTTTTTTATAATTTGCCAAAATGAAGATTTTACTTTGCTTTTTTCAAAAATATAATAAAAAGTATGGGTCACCGTACTATTTTTCATGCTATGATTCGTTGAAAATTGCCTAAATTTGGTTAGATTGTTCATGAAAAAACACATTTGTGTGCATATAGATAGAAATTTGAAATAAATTGGGAGAAGATAGGTTTTATTATATGTTTTAAGAAAATGAAAAGAAAAAATGGTGTCACCGAACTTGTTTTCTTGCTACACGGAAAAATAAAAAATTTCCCTATTAGTCCAGTATAAATTTTTACTAAAAGAGTTATCTCCCCTTAAATGGTTCATTTTAAAAAAAATGATTCTAAGAACAAAAATAATTGATATTTGTTAAAATATTTTGCATAATACAATAAATCACCAAGTTTTGTTTATATGAATAAACAGTCTAACCATTAAATTGCAAATCTGTCTCCAAATTGGCAGATTTGGGCAAATAACTAGACCGATTTTGTACTGTGATTGTGCAATCCAAGATGGCGGTATACCATGAATTTACCTTAACAGTGTTTATTTTGTACTTACTGGAAATTTTCAGTCAAATAAGAAAGGGTTAATGACCCCTGAATGTTTGATTTTATGTAATTTTTTCTACACTTGATTATTCTCCTTGATATATTTACATATAGAAAGTAAATAAAAACTGCAATTATTTTCACCGAAGTAAACTACAAAATGGTGAAAATTAAAGTACGTTACTTTTGTAAATTCAATTCACTACTTATACGAGTTGATGCCCTTCATAAAAGATTTTTCCACTTCAATTTTTTTTCAGAAACTGGAATTGCGAGAAAGTTTAAAAAGCATGTTGCACATTTTGTAGCTTGAAACATACATAGGAAAAGATATGATAAGACTACATTTGTGCTCATGAGTCATATATATTTTTACTACTGCAGACAGTCACTAATTGTTATAATTTGAATTTACATATTTTCTTCAAATTACAAATCATGTTTAAATTTTCAACAACCAGCAAATTTTAATGTTTTTATGTCTTTATGAAAGAATTAGAATAGAAATTTGATACTGAAGACCCATATTTGATAGCCTTAAGTTTGTCTCTTGTTAAAAAAAAAAACCTCTTTGTACTGATTTTATACCAAGAACTGTGCTCTGAAATTGTCAAGAGCAATTACAAATGTAAATGTGAACATGGCACTTATAAAATTCAAATCTGATTTATTTCAAGTATGTTGTTATAAAGTCTTATATGTATCTTGTATAACAATTGTAGATTATTCCAACTCACTACCATTTTGTAATTAAACAGAACATTATCATATTAATTTGATACTGCAATAAATGTGGATTTGATTTGACCAAACTTGGCAATCAATTTCCAAATAACCTTAAATCTGAATTTCATTCTTTTATTGATATAAATAATAATTTATTTTCAAGTTGTAGAGCTAGCTAGAACCCCGAGTTTTCAAAGTGCTTGAAGTGACTAGTTGGTGACACATATGCTGAAAACACGATACACACTCACCATACTGTTATGTTAGAAACTAGCTAGCATTACAGCAGTGGATAATTAAGGGTTAGAAAGTGCATACACTACAACTATACATGCATATAAGCATGAAAGCAAACATAAAAGTTATTCAATAGCGAGAAAAGTATGAATAAAATGAATTGATTTTAATTATTGTATAAAATAAATACATTAAATTGAGAATGGAAATGGGGAATGTGTCAAAGAGACAACAACCCGACCATAGAGCAGACAGCAGCCGAATGTATATTAATTAAGAGAAGAGAAGGTGTTACAAAAAGAAAAGGTGTTCTCTTATTAAACAAAGAGAGCGCATACATAACAAATATACATGCAAAAAAATAGCATAAACATGAAATAAAGCTAGATACAAATGGATTTATTGCTACTTTCATAAAGTGCTTAAAAATAATGCTTTTGACAGTAGACAAGGTTGCAAAATTTTAAGTAAGCAAATAATACATAGCATATTGTTCAAAAGCATTGAAACAACACAAAAAAAGGTAAATCTTCTATGAGTAAAGTTAGATTTTATTCCTCTAAATCTGAAAACATTTTGTTATTTCAAAATGTTCCAATGTAAACAAGTAAAAATTAAATCCATTTCAAAGTACAGCCCATTCATGTCAAAGTCTTAATCAATCTACTCCCTTATTCAACCAATAAATCCTGAGCATGGCACATCATTCAACTAATCCTGTGCACCGCACAGACTGAGTCAACTAACCCTGTTCACAGCACAGGCTTAATCAACTAACCCTGTGCTCAGTACGGCCTTAGTCTACCAACCCTGTGCACAGCACGGCCTAAGTCAACTAACCCTGTGCACAGCACGGCCTAAGTCAACTAACCCTGTGCACAGCATGGCCTAAGTCAATTAACCCTGTGCACAGCACGGCCTAAGTCAACTTACCCTGTGCACAGCACAGCCTAAGTCAATTAACCCTGTGCACAGCACAGCCTAAGTCAACTTACCCTGTGCACAGCACAGCCTAAGTCAACTAACCCTGTGCACAGCAGGGCCTAAGTCAACTAACCCTGTGCACAGCACAGCCTAAGTCAACTAACCCTGTGCACAGCATGGCCTTAGTCTCCTAACCCTGTGCACAGCAGGGCCTAAGTCAACTAACCCTGTGCACAGCACGACCTTAGTCAACTAACCCTGTGCACAGACTGTCAACTTACCATGTGCATTACAAGGCCTAGTTAACTTACCTCTGCAAAAATGTATGTTACAATTTAAAATTTTTTAGCTGTATACATATCTGTATGGTGTAATAGATAAGCTTCATTCTTCATAATATACATAAGGTATGTCAAACCCAACAACAAA